CCCTCTACTGTTTAGCCTCCTGAGGGCATGAATCAGCGAGGCAGCAGTGGCCCCAAGGCCCAGGGAAAGGGCGGGAGGAGGAGCTGACCCCATAGTGGCCATGCTGTGTCATGGGCAGAGGCAGGGAGCCCAGAACGGAGACATAAACAGCACCTTGAGCTAAACTACAGCAACAGCTGCGGATTTTCCAAAGCTTCCCTCAAAAGTCGCCTCCACCACCCATCCAGGGACTGAACAAGGAATGCCAGTGCTGACAGGAAGCTCAGAGTGTTCTGGGCCCTTGAACAGTGCAAAAAAAAAAATGCGCCTGAGACAGCAAGAGACTGGCCCAAAGCCATGAGTGGACAACAGATGCCTGTCCAGTGAGTCCTCACCAAGCTGCTCTTGAGCTGGAACCCAGAGGTCTTTTCTGAGGGTCTGTGGGTATCTCTTTTTGGGTCCAAAGCTGAGGCTTGCCAGGAGCAGGGGCTCACCCATCCTCAGGAAGCAGCTATGCTAGGCCCTATCAGGGCATTCATGCCTTCAGCTCCAACCAGTCACTAATGATACAGAATCAAAATAGTGTCTCTGCCTTCACAGCATACCTGCTAGTGGGTAGAGATAGAACCGGAGTGAATTGGCAAACATACTGTAGGACAGGAGAGGGGGGATGTGCTGTGAAGCAAGGAAAGTGAGCTGGAAGCAAAGGTGAGCGTGGCTGCTTGGAACAGAACCATCCTGGCTGCCTGGCATCTGAGTGAGGAAGGGGAGCAGTCTTCCTGGATCTCGGGAGGAAGAGCAGTCCAAGTAAGAGCTGCAGAGAAGAACAAACTGGCGTGCAAGGGAATTGCTCATCAGTTGTCAAGGCTGGAGGAACTGGAATGAGCATGGGAGGATTCAGGTAGAAGGAGCTGGTGATCTACCAGGATGCTCTAAATCATGTCAAAAAGCCTCTGACTTCACTCAGAGTAGGACAGAAACAACTGCTGACCTCTGTGCCAAGCACTGGTATTCTCTGACTTAGGTGCTAAAGGGGTGATTTGTTGCTTCAAAATGTATTTATAGGGAGAGCTAATTTAGTTAACCAGACACTGCAAACAAAGAGCAAGAGAAAGAAAGTTGAAAAAGATGCAAGATTTGAAGGTAGGATGGAGTCTTCCTGACCCTCCTTACAAGTGGAAGAATGGTGTCTCTGGACAAGATTTCCCTGTGGATCCAAGGCTGTGATGGACTAGAACCACAGACTAGTTGCCTCTGTAGCTCAGAGAAGTCAGACATCTGGGGCCTGGAAGGAACCTAGAGACCAGCAATCAGACCCAGAGCTGAAGTCCCCTACAACTGCTTTTAAACAGCGTTGTGGTGGAAAACAATAAAGACCTTGCTTGGAGTGGTAGTGAGGGGTTCTCATCTGCAGTATTTGCCAATTCCTATGGGGTGACTACTCCACCATGACTGGCTTCAAGCTATCAATAGTTTAAAACTGCCAGCAAGGGGCTGGAGATGTAGCCCTGTTAGTAGAATGCTTGCCTAGCATGCATGAAGCCCTGGCTTTCATCCCCAGCACCACATAAATTATGCATGGTGGCACATGCCTGCAATCCCAGAACTTGAGAGGTAAAGGCAGGAAGACCACAAGTTCAAGGCATCCTTAGCTACACAGAGAGTTCTAGGCCAGCCTAGGACTTGGAAGACTATCTGGAAAATAATCCTGAAAGTATCCTTACTGACCCTTGAGAGCCAGTGCAGGCTGGCCTTGGGACTGCTGTGTGCCATCTTTTTGCTAAACACCTTTGGTAGTAGTAACCACTGCATTTGGTTATAATCAGAATTCCTAGGCTATGTGAAAACTAGATGCCTTGGAAATTTGTTTTCCCCAATCAGCTCCTTGTGACTCTCACTATATAAGTATATACTTACTGTCCAGAATATCAGTCAGTATAAGCTGGGTTGTGGTGTAGTAACAAATAACCCCTTCGGCAAGAATTGGGGATCGGGAAGCTAAAATCATGTGCCTACTTTATAAGATGGTTGATAGACATCACTTGCTGCATTTGATACTGTTAAGATGTGAGAAGCTTGCTGGCACAGACTCTGAGCTTTGATGGTATTTCTGGGGTATGAGTTAATGAGATGATGATCAGGGCAAAGCAAACAAAGAGGGCCTAGACTCAGGTAAAGTTGGTGTCAGTCTAGAACTTTCTACCCCTGCCACAAGGAAGGTAGGCTTTCACATAAGCTAGCTCCAAGGCTTACCCACTCAAGCCAGGACTAAGTGAGACCTAACTATGTGAATGATGACGTCTGTGTTGAACTTCGAGCATGAGAGTGAGCTATAGCTAAAGACTCAGTTACCACACACAGGGGTGTGCAGACACACACACACACACACACACATACACACACACACAGTGTGAGATAATGCACATACCAGTTAACCCAATCCAGCCATTCTATGCATACATGATTCAAAATATGTTGTACACCATCGATTTTTGTCAACTAAAATAATTATTTAATTAAAACACTGGCCACAGTGGCACGCACCTTTAATTCCCATACTCAGGAGTCAGAGGCAGGTGGAGTTCTTCTGTGAACTGTCTGCAAATCTCCTCTAATCTTCATTTTTGTGGGTTAATCATCTGTTTATTTCATGATTAAGAGCTCTTTGTAAATTATCTGCATTAGAATGTTCCTGTCATTTTAGGACTTCCAGCAAAGATATAGAGCTGCCACTTTAATCTGACTTTTGGATAGACAATGATTGAAACTATTCACACCAAAAAGTAATTCATGGGCCCAGGCATGTCGCTCATGCCTATAATCCTAGCATGCTGGAGATGGAAACAGGAGGATCATGAGTTCAAGGAGAGCTTCAGCTACAAAGCAAGTCCCAGGCCAGCCTGGGGCACCCAGTAAGATCTTAGAACAAAAAAGTTCTAAAAAAAACAAATAAATCAATGTCCATCTGAAAATTGAAATTAGTTAAATGTTCATATTTTATTTATTAAATTTATCAACTCCTTGTCACAACTATAGTAAATGTTTTCCAGCCTATCATTTATTTTAACTTCTATTTATTATGTCTCTTTCCATAAAGAATATTTGTATTTTATATAAACATATCCATCAGAATTTTACTTTATGGTTTCATGATATATCTAGCAAGGCTTTCAGAATCCCAGGCTCATGGCAAATACTTATATATTCATTAACTACTTTTTGGCTTCATGATTTCACATTCAGCATTTGATGGATTTGCAGTCTATTCTGCCCAGGGAACTACATAAAACACACATTCCCACCTCCTGCTTGTGACTGTAGTTATTACAATACCATCTATGTTAAAATCGTCTGTCCCACTCATTGGAGTGCCACCTTCAACCCTGAAGTTTTTCCTGTACTCCTATTTTTGGGCTGTGTGTCCTCCAATGAACAGTCATCCTGGGCAGTACCATGCCAGTCACTGTTGTTCTGTGCTGGAACTGTGCAGTATGACACAGATGTATAGATTCTGCAAGCACAATGCTTGTACCAAATCCCCTGCTCCTCTCTTCTACCTGTGTGACCTTGGATGTCATACTTGTCCTGCTGTCCTTCCATCACTTATCTGTGAGTGACAAGAATGTCACTATCTGTCTTATACGCTTGTGGTAATGAATTAAACACATCAATGCATGTAAAGTGCTCCTGAGGCAGCAGAACAGGCATGATTTCACTTTAATGTCCATCAGGACCACATTCCCTTATCCTCTTACTAATCCCCATTTTGTTGATTGTTCTTTTCTCCCAAATGAAACCCAAAATGATCACGTGTCAAATTAAAAAGAAAATCCTACCTAGGGTATAGTAGAGATTGTATTGGAAGTGCAAACCCGGAGAATCTGATAGTGCAACAGGGTTTCTTTTTCTTGTCCAAGAATAAGATGTAGTAATTGAGAAGAAGAGGCAGAGAAGGAGGATTGTGTCTTGATAGTCAAATCTCTTTTATTCCTCCAATACAAAATAGAAGAATTTTTCCCAAAGTAGGACATATGTTCCCTGGTAATGTTGCTGGGGAAATTGGGGTCTCCTCTAGGGTTCTTAGTATCACTAACAAAAGAATTTAAAAACCGACTCATAAGGAAGTTCAATGACAGTCTTAACTCAGAAAAGCAGGCAGACTTTAGCAGAGCTGGACAGCGAGACACACTAATTAAAGAGATAATTAATCCTTCCATCTCTTTAACATGGCCTAAAGTGAGTTAGCCTTCACAGGCCCAGGTGAGCCAACTCTCCTGTTGTGGGCAGTTTGGAAAGTTAGGCCTCCACCCAAGATCAGAGGTGGATTCCATTCTTTTGAAGAGAAGGACATAGCTCTCCCTTGATGGGCCTCACTGGAGCCCTGATCAAGGCTACTGTAACACTAAGCTTATGTCTCCGAGTATTTATAATTGTGCTATTAGTGAGAAGGGGATTATCATTCATATTACAGACGAGAACACTGAGTTTGTTGTGGTTATTTCATGACCTGCCGGTTCATTGGTGAAAACTTCTATGTCACACAATCCTCACTTTTTATTTTCCAAACGCAATCATATCTCTGCAAACGTCAATTATTTTCCTCCTGGTTCCCAACTTAAAACATCGCACACACAAAAGCACAGGCTCAGTAATTCACATTTAATTTCCTTCTTTTTCTTCTCTTGCCTAATTGCATTCAGCGTACTTTCAAAATTAGTTTCCCGGTCTTGCCCCTAACTTTAATGGAGATATCTGTCTGTCTTAGTCCTCAGTGTAACGAGTTTGGTCCCTGCAAGCAGGTGTCGTGGTTTGGGATTTGGGGTTCGCTTTTCCCAGTAAAGAGAGACTTTTGCAGAGCCTTTCTGGCCAGCCCACGTTGTCACTGTGCGCCCTGCGCGGGCAGAGCTGCACTGGGGGCTGAAGTTTCTCCCCGCGTTTCCGCTTGAACAGCTTCCAAGCCTAGCCTTTAAAATGCCCGGGCGGCCGCGGCTCGGCTCACAATCGCTCTCGCGGCTGCCGGAGGCTCGCCGCGCCACGGGGCGCTGACTCAGCTGCAGCCTGGCCGCTTCGCCGAGTCTGGCCTGGGGAGCGCGCGCCCCAAGCCGGCGCCCGCGCCCTGAGCCCAGAGCTGGGTCGCCTGGAAGCGGGAAGCACCACAGCACGCGAGCCGCGGGCGTCTGGGGCTGGAGGCTGGCGCGACTAGGGCCCCGAGCGCGCGGGACGCGCCTGGTCAGGTAAGACTGCGGGAGCATGGTCCAGAGCATCCTCCGGGCGGGGCGAGGGCGCACCTTCGCCTGCGGGAGCACTGTGCGGGGCTCCAGCGGCAGGCGCTGGCTCTGCTAATGCAGTGGGGCCTGGCCAAGCCGCGACCACCAGGGGACCCGGTCGCGAGGAACCAGGACCCCTCCGCGGCCCTGCGCCTGGCGCCTTTGTCATCAGCCAGGAGGGCCAGACCCACGCGTGGCAGGTTAACAGCAGCGCTGAAGATGGAACTGCACAGGGCTCTGCGTTGCAGCAGCCGGCTGTCCTGCAGGGCTTAGGTCTGAACGAACACCCTGCGAGCCGATGATGCTGTGTTCAGATCCAGCACCTGCCCCTGTGGGAGATTTTCTGCCCTCGGCCTTTGAGGGATCCAGAGAGTGTGAGTTGAAACTGAATCAAAGTTTCCAATTTCCTCTTGTCAAGTTCAGTGCTTAAAATTCCTTGTGCTTGTGGTTGACAGGAACCGAGGACAGGTTTTCATCAACTGTAGTTGATGAAGGTCATAATTGATGGAACTTCTGGGAAAAGTTCTGTTGGTGGCAGTCTTTCTAAAGAAATGTCAGTTCTCAGTTGGTTTTTTGTCTTGCTCTGTTATGAAAATCCTAACTCAAGCTTTCAAGTATTTTGCATATATCAGTGGAGAATGACTCTAACGATGCTGTGTGCTGTGGAAAACGAATCATGCTGATGAATTTGGTAAGAGTCTTGATTGCCCATAGGGAAAGTTCTAGAATGGGAACACAGAAATTCCAGGGTGATTTGTCTTCTCATTAAGTGCACCTTAGGGTCAAAGTGTTCTGTCAGGATGTGACTCTGTGCCCAGAAAAGAAGCCCCATCCCACTCTATGAGCCTTCCTGGAAAGGCTCCCTGCTAACCTCTCCTGCATCAGCTTGGAGGTTCAGTCCCCACATCCTCTGGGTTTTCCTTGGCCTCCCAAATCTCCGCTAGGGCATCTAAGCTTCTGGCCTGACACAATAATCCATGAGCCTTCTTGATCTTTCCCATTAAGGATGTGTGCAGTGAATTCTGGGTTCAGCGCTGCAGCTCCTGGATCTGTAGTCCTGGGTTTCCCTCATCCTCAGCAAGCTGCTTCCTGAGCAGGGCTGTAATAAGTGGATTCATTTCAATTCACGATATTCTGCAAAGTAGGTTTAGGAGGTCATAAAGCCAAACACCAAGCCTTTGGGTGTGATTTATAAATTGGACTTTGGTTAAGGTTACATTTTCGGGGGTGGCTCACCATTTAATATTGCACCAGCTTCGAGGACACATTAGGGGGTTTGTGCAAGCAAACCTCTCTCCTTAGGAAAAGTACCCTGAAACAAATGGCCTTACATTTACCCAAACAAAGAACTGTGAATAAGCTGTTCATTTATTCTGTGTAATCTTTGCATTAATATACTCTGGTTCCAAAGGATTAATTTCCCAGCCACATTTCCAGTAATACCATTTATTATTTCAGAACAAAATGCAAGTAATGAAGGCATGAGGTACAATATGTCTCTGAATTCACCGAAGTGTGGAAAATTATAGAAAATTTCTGGCTATTAAAGGACAAAAATGTAAACCTAAAATAAACAAGGTTAGGGTGGGTGGAAAAGGGGAAAAGCACCCATATATGTGCCTGAAAAACTAACAAGAAGTTTAATGACTACTCACAAACTGTGATTTAGAGAACTGCACATCTTCCTAGCTTATTTTCTTACCGAGTTAGTGAAAGAGGCAGCCATTCCAAATATACTGCCTTGCTTGTTAATCTTACTTTGACAAATATTTACACTACTAGGGCACAGTATCACAGCATGGCCTCAAAATCAGCAGCCCCATGGCAGTTCATGTATAGTATTGCTCAAATTCAACATGATTTCTAGGACTTAAGTGGAATGACATCAAGGAAAATGTCCTTACATTATCTGGCCTGGCCACAGTAGAAAGAACAATTTTTATGAAACTGACAAGGTTCCAAGTCTCTGAAGTTAATGTTTCTAATAAGATCAAATGTGAAGGAAAGCCCTTATGACTCTAAATTTTGGCATGGAAGACTCTGGAATTACTCCATGTCTGTGGATGTTTTAGGTAGCTAAAGTTTGTTATTTAAAGTGATATTTGGGAATAGTTGCACTGCTTTTGAAGGAAATACTCTTAAAGAGCTGTATGTGCCTCCTACCATCAGAGAACTGGCTGATGGGAATCTGCGTTTCTTGCCAAATCAAGATTGGTGCTAGGAAAATCAGGTATCCTGGGCACCCTGAAGAGAAAGCGCTTGTGTGTGTGTGTGTGTGTGTGTGTGTGTGTGTGTGTGTGTGTGGTTGTGTGTGTTTGGTCAGAGTGTGGTCCTGGCCCTGCTACTTAAGCTAGTCAACTTTCTAATCTCTGAATCTCTTATTAAGCCCCAGGATAATCAATGCCAGCTCTGTTGCACTCAAGTATCTGCTGTACATTATCATGGAGTTTTCAAAGTAACATTTTGTGTATGTATGTGTGCAGTGTAATGTATGTGTGTGTATGTTCATGTGTGTACAGGGGCACATATACATGCGTGGGTGCATATAGAGACCAGACACTATACCATGTGTCTTCTTCAATCTCTTTCCACCTTATTTATTGAGACAGGATCATTCACTGAACCTGGAGTTCACCAATTCAGCTAGACCAACTGCCCAGCAAGCCCCTGGGATCCTCCTGTCTCTCCTTCCCCTGTGCTAGGATTAATGGTATGCACCATGAGCCCAGCTTTTATATGGGTTCTCAGGATCTGAACTTAGGTCCTCATGCTTACATGCCAAGCACTTTACTGACAACCATCTCCTCAGCTTTTAGAGGAACATTTTTAAAAATTATTTATTTAATAACCACATAATTAGAAGAAGCATTTCATTACAACAGCATTGACATATTCAATAACAATTTCCAGAGCTAAGATGCATCTCT